TCCTGGCCACCATGGCCCAGGGCAGCCTAAGGTCGCGGGGGACCCCGTCCCCCTCCCACGACCCCCCAGGTGCTCGGGGCTCCGCCTCCACCTCCCTCTGCCCCAGGGGCTGCTGCACGAACGTCCAGCTGGTTGGACTCTACCCGCAGCGAGGGGACGGGACCCCAGGCGCCCTCCAGATTGGAGATGGGCCGGAGGGAAGCAGCGGGTGGGGGGGGGGGGGGGGCCCCCCAGGGGATGGGGCAGAGGGGGGGGAGGGGGGAGGGGGGGGGGGGGGACACGGTGACAGCGGAAGCGGAGGACGTCAGACTGGACGGCATGTCAGAGAAGCTTCCTGTCAAGGAAACCAAGGACCGGCGGCATGTGGGTGGGGCGGGCGTGTGGGTGGGGCGAGCGGCGACGGAGGGTCGGCTTCGCACGTTCGGATAGTGATGGGGGTTCCCTGGGGCCACGGTAACAAAGCGCGGCGAACTTGAGCGGTGGCTGACACCACTCACTCCCTCCACTCCCTGGAGGCCAGGAGCCCGGAATCAAGCGCGGCAGGGCCACGCTCCTCACGGGCTCTAGGGGAGGCGGGGCTCTGGTGGCCGCCAGCATCCCAGTCTTTGCCTCCATCTGCAAACGCCTTCCCCCTTCTCTCTGCTTGTTTACTTTACAGGAATGGGGTTTCGCTTAGGGGCCACCAGGTCATCCCGGGTAAGCTCCTCCTCTGAAGATCGACATAAGGTGATGTTCATTCTTTTCCCACCTAAGGCCAGATTCACAGGTTCTGGGGATTAGGGTGTGGACACCATTCAACCCACTCCAGTGGGAATGACCTGGAAAAGAAAGACAGCCCTGGTGTGGAAGAAGGGAGGACCCAAGGCGGGGAGTGGCGGGACCCAGAGCTGAAACCTTCTTTCCCAGCTTTATTTCAAAACATTACAGGGACTTCCCTGGTGGCGCAGTGGTTAAGAACCTGCAGGGGACACGGGGTCGAGCCCTGGTCTGGGAAGATCCCACATGCCGTGGAGCAACTAAGCCCGTGCGCCACAACTACTGAACCTGCGCTCTAGAGCCCGAGAGCCACAATTACTGAAGCCTGTGCGCCTAGAGCCCGTGCTCCGCAACAAGAGAAGCCACCGCAATGAGAAGCCCGTGCACCGCAGCAAAGAGTAGCCCCCGCTCGCTGCAACTAGAGAAAGCCTGCGCGCAGCAACGAAGACCCAATGCAGCCAAAAGAAAGTAGATAATGTTTTAAAAAACATCACAGGTGAATTTTATTGTATGGGAACTGCAGCTCAATTTAAAAAAAGTGAAAAAATAAAAAACACTCAAAACTCCCTGCCAACCTCCTACAGTTCAGTCCCCTACAAGGAGCTCAGCGGAGGCCACCTTTCCACCCAAGACAGTCTTGCTAAGAGGTCCCCAATACCTCCCTCCCAGACTGGACACGTGAGGCTCTGAGAAGACGCCTCCACGCGGCAAAGGGGGCAGGAGAGTGAGCATCCAGGGACAGACAGACACAGCACCTGCCATCCTGCTGACCCACCCAACCAACCCAGCGCCCCCAGAAACACCCTCCTTCGGCCCCAGCAGACACTCAGCAGCGCGGTGCAGGGGAAACGGGGTCCAGGAGCCGGGAGGGCAAGCCTCCAGGCGGGCAGAGGGGAACCACGCGGCACTCCAGTGGCCTGGGGTGCGGCTGACAGGCAACAAGATTAGGGAGGAGGAAGGGCTCCTGCCGGAAACGCCTGAGCCAGCAGCTGCGGGCAGACACCCCTGCCCCGCAGATCCCCGCCCTGCCGGCTCCCCAGAGCACCACTGGGCCTGGACCCCCGGCCGGGGCCTGCGTCAGGAACCGCGCGCACGTGAACTGCAGTTAGCGGATGTTCTCCTGTGTGTGGACGCCCCTCGCTCTGAGGCCAAGGGCAGGGCCCGGTGTAGGCAGACACGCCTCCTGGTCAGGTTGGCACAAGTTCCCGTCTTCGTTTCCGGCCATCTCCTCGGGCGCCCCTTTCCTGCAACGCTCCCTGGTCAGTATCTGCCTTGACAGCCGCAGGGCTGCGGGCTCTGCGGCCTCGAGCCGTGCCCACGGCGGACCGCGCGGGCCTCCGTCAGAGCCTTGGGGCGCCGGTGACGAGTCCAAGCCCCCGCTCGTGCCCGGGTAGGAGGCGGGCCTAAGCTGCTGGCCCTCACCCCGGTTACTGCTGCCTCTACAGGGAGTCCCCTCCTCCCCAGCACACTTCCAACTTCACTCCCACTGACCCGTGTCCCCAGGGAGGGCCTCGGAGCCGAGTGGGAGCTGCCCGGCCTGGGTCAGTAAAGAAGGGAGCCCCCCGTCTCCCTGACTCCCAGAGGTCCTCGAAGTTTGGTGGGACCGGAAGTCCCCGGTTACATACTGGTACTGGAATCCACACACACCCGGCCCCAGAGGTTCTGATTCGGGAGGGCCCGGTGCGGCCCTGTAATCTGCTCTTTAGCTCAGCAGGCCAGGAAGTGCTGAAACAGGAGCCGTGAGGACCTCTCCAGCCCATGACGGTGGGCTGGGCGCCAGGGCCCAGGACACATGCCATCCCTTCCTGGGACAGGTCACACACACCTCCTGCAGACCTCTGACCTGCTGCGGGCAGGCCGGGAGGGCAGGGGTGGGACCGGCACTCACTCCGAGGTGCTCCGCCCTCCCCAGCCTACATCCCGCCCTCCTGGCTTCAGCAAACGCAAAGGAGAAGTTAGCGATCTGTGATTCACATTTCTTTCGCCTTCACACACCCACACCCATACCTTTAAGACCCCGCCCAGCAGAGACCGGGACAAGAAGTAACAGATTTAAACTTTCATGGAACTTCCTGCTCCGTGGGGCATGGGGGATTCTTCCAGTAACTCGCACTGAGCTGAGGTCTCTCTGGACCTCTGCCAGGGCTAAACCCAAGGGGCTTCCGTGAGATAAGGCTGCGGCTTGTGGCTGCCTGCTGGGTGCAAACAGTCCAAAAGGCTACCAAGTAACCAACACGAGGACCAAGAGGCAGGAAAGGGAGCCCTAAGAGAAAAGAAGCTCGTGCCGTGCGCCCCGGTCCTTGGAAACCCCTGGGCTCTGTCACACCTGATGGGACCCATGGGGCCTCCTGGTCACAGGCCAAGGGCAGCAGCACGTGGAAAGGCCCAGACACACAGAGGAGGCTCACAGCCCGGCCAAGCAGGAGGCTCCTGCCCTCGCTGGGACCCAGGACACAAAGCACAGGGAGCAGGTGTGCCACGCCAGCCTGCTACAAAGGCTTCTGGGAGCATGCCCCCCCCCCCCGTCAATTCCCTCAAACACTTTTCCCGTACAGCCACCAATTCACTGTAAGCAGAATCCGCTTCCAGAAATGGCCGTCTGCTCTCCGCCCACGTGCCAAACACTGATGCCACACACAGCGGGAACATGGGGCCAGCGCTGAGACCCAGTCCTGCTGCTACACTGATTCAGAGGCACCATCCTGCGTGTCCTCCCCTTGCCTACAGGACGCAGGTACCTACCTCTGGAATTACTGGCAGGATTAAAGGATGTAAGTTTAAAGCGCCCGACAGAGTTGGCACTCAAGAGATTAATTCCTTCCTTTCCCTCCTACTCAATTTCCCTGTCTCAGTTCTAGACCCAAAGAGATCCCAAGCTCACCCAACTCAGAAACGCCAAAGGGCATCCAGGCGCACGCGCAGGAGAGAGCGAGAGAGCTAGAGAGCAAGAGAGGAAGAGGGAGAAGGAGAGGGAGGGAGGGAGGGAGGGAGAGGG